AATCATTTTTTACTCCTAAATTTTGCTTTTTTGTGATTTTTTATTTTTTTCCTTTCATTTCTCTTGCTTTATTGGTGTTTATTCTGTTTCCCTCTCTGTCCTCCCCTTTCTCTTCCTCCATCTGAGTCTCACACACACACACACACACACACACACACACACACACACACCTCTTTTTTAATGCATGTGTTATCTGTTTTGCCTCTCACATGCTGTAATTTATTATCTTTTGTGTTCTGTTCCTTTCCTTGGGTACTTTTCTTTCTTCTTCCTCTCTCTGACTCCCATTTTTTCTACTTATCTCTACCTGGTGCTTCCATGTCAAATTCCAGAGTGTTTTTCCGGATTTCCTCAAATCCCCAAGTCTTTTTCACCCACTCTGTGTCCTGGCCTGCTTTTACCCCATCCCCATCTCTCTTATTCACCACTCCTCTCTCTGTCTCTCTCACCATGCCTTCTGTGTGGGTTCCCACATGACTCACCCTCTCTTTCTCTTTTTGGTTGTCTCCCTGTGTTGACCTCCATCTATTATGCATCTTTTTGCTTGAAAGAGGATTTTTCAAAGATACATATTTTTAAAACTTCATTACTAGATAATCCTTTTATTACCAAAGACATTTAGGGGATGAAATTTCAAATATATACAAAGTTCCCATATATATATTTGCACAGTTGAAGAGCTCTTCAGAACGAAATATGTGAGATTCTCCATGCAACATCCCTGTTTTCAGGACCTGAAGCTGAAGAACTCAAGTGCACAGCACATGTATACGTGGACACTGACCTACATACACACACGATTGCATCCATGGCAACACTTACATATGCACAAACATGTGCTCATGCAAACACATATCCACAAAAATACACACATGCTAGACTGATACAATCTTGTGCCTTTCATTCCTTGAATAAAGTATGCAAATCTCCAAGCTTAAAATGTAATCCTAAACACACTAAGAACATCACACAATGTCATTTTGTAATGAAGATTTAAAATTTATCAGCAGTGCAGAAAACCTGCAATTGGGTGCTTAAACAAAATTCCTTACTTATATGAGTGTAATTTCCACTAATTAAGTTGCACACTCTATTATGTTGTTTTAAATTTCATACCTACAATATAAAGGATACAGGCTGTAGTGTGCCTAAAACACAAAGAGCAGGGACAGAGCTCTCATGGGGCTCAGGTCACTTAAAGCAACATCTCGCAAGGGCAGTGTGCTTGGGTAGACTGTGGAAATGGAGCAGCAGTCATACAGGGAAGCCGGGGACGCACTGCACGGAAGACCTCACATCCCCCAGTGGAGGAGCGGGAGAGACTCACAGGGAGACTCCCCAATAGCCTCTCCTAGCATTTTTCTTGCAAAGCTTAAAAGTTCTAATTCAACGTCATTGTGTGGCTCAGGTTCAAGTTCTCCTCTGACTTGATCACTAGAACGTGTTCTCAGTATGTCTCCAAGTTGAGACATGATGCATATCTAGGAGAATTTGACTAAGAACTTCAAACTAGTTCTGAAACGTGGAACAGAAGGCAATGTTGACACCCCGCAACTGGAGTGTAAAGTCACATCGTGCTGGGAGTTTGTAAAGGACCGAGCACCAACCAGAGGAGACCTGAGTCTGTCAAGGACGGAAATATCCGAGGTGATGCAGCAAGCAGATAGGCTGACGGGCGCGTGACGTTGTCAAGGCGGGAAGGAGGTATCCAGAGCGCACAGCGGACAGTCAGGCCCCGGCCCCTGCGTTCTGGAGTCCTCTGGTGGGGTCTGAGTGTATCATTGACTCAGGAGAATGGAAACCAGACAGTGTGAGTTTAGGTGACTCTGTTCTTTCCGCGAGAGGCACAGGTTAATGTGGATGCACTGTGTTTCCAGCTCGTGAGAAGCAAGGGGCAGGCAGCTGGGAACCTGATATTCACTAAGGCAGCAGAAGTTAGCAAGAAGGCGCTGGGATTATGAAAAACAGCCATGCATGCTCGCACGATGCGGGATATGCTGTGAAACTTTACATACACGCACGCCAGGACGAGGACTCCGTGGGTGGCTCTGGTTGCAGGTGAGGATGGGCAGGACACGTTGGTCTCACGCAGGTGTCTGACCTGCCGCTTGTGCCCGTGTAGGGTGGAAACCATGGAGCCGCTGGCGCAGAGCATGAGCCCGACACAGAGAGCGTCGCTGAGGGAGAACAAAGCCACACTTACGGATTTCAGGACCGTCTTGTAACCCGGAGCAGAGCAGGATCCGAAGTCTATTTTATTTGAGCTGTTTTCCTTTTTCCACTTAGCAGTCACTTGCACAGGAAAAGCGAGATTCAGTATTATGTCAGTGGCCAGCAGAGGGCAGTGAAGGTGCTTATATAGTTGGGAGCTCTCACTTTAAACTCTGCCCACCTGGAGCTCCTGGAGCTGAGCGTGAGGGCCTGGAAGACACTTCGCAGGCAGGTGCTGCCCATAGAGACACCCCTGCCCACCCTGCGAACATAGAAAACGAGTTTGCATCCAAGGTCGTTGAGGAAGTCTTTTGCCCCCAAAGCTGCTATGACTCTGGGATTGCTCTGGAGAGAACGACCAGGGTGTTGGCCACGTCAGGTGCCCGAGAATCCAATCTGTGGACCTTGATTTGCATCCACTGACATAAAGGAACAAATACTGATCTAAAAGACAGAAATCACCCATGGTTCCAACGACTATCTGGACCAGGAATAGCATTTCAATACTTACCTGTGTGGAAGCCATTCTGTTGTCTTCTATGCTGTATTTGCATTCAGAAGTAGTGGACGCATGAGTTCTATACTGTTTTTAACAGAAAATGAAAATTAAAAATTCTCATTTTCTTATTATTTCTTGTTCAGAGTTTTTTCTTTAATATTAGAAAAATCTGTGGTTCCTTTGCAAATTGCACACGTTTGGACAACTCTCACCCAGGATTTACATATTAATAATTAATTTAATAATTAGGACTCAACAAATGGGATCTCATCTTATTAAAAATCTTTTGCACACCAAAAGGAATCACACAGTGAACAGACATCCCTCAGAGTTGGAAAAAATTATACCCAGTAGTCCCTTAGACATGGAGTTATGTCTAGAACATATAAAAATTCAAAAAAATGAGTCCCCCCAATTTCAAAGACTCAATCTGAAAATGGACATCCAAGGTGAATTCAAACTTTTCAGAGGAAGGAATACAAATGTCAAATAAATACATGAAAAAATGTTCAACATGATTGGTCATTTAAGAGATGCAAATTAAAACAACACTGAGATTCCATCTTACTTCCGAAAGAATGGCTAGCATTAAAAAATCAACCAATAACTAATGCTGACGGGGCTGTGGCAGAAAAGGAACACTTCTCCACTATTGGTGGGAGTGCAGACTGTTACAGCCACTGTGGAAATCAGTGTGGAGATTCCTTTAAAAACCAGGAGTAGCAGTCCCATTCGACCGAGCTATTCCTCTTCTGGGTATCTTCCCAGAAGAATTTAAAGCATCATATCACAGTGATATATGTGCACCCATGCTTACAGCAGCACAATTTGTGATAGCCAGATCTTCAAAACAACACAAATGCCCATCAACCGATGAATGAATAAAAAGGTGGGGGGGTTTTAATATAATATAGTACTACACAGCCGTAAAGAAGGATAAACTTGAGATTTTTATAGGTAATGGATGCAATTTGAGACCATACTCATAAGTGAAATAAATCAGGTTCACATGTGTAAATATTATATTGTCTCCCTGATATCAGAAACTGAAATAGTAAATAATGTACAAAATGTACAATAGATATTGTGAATTGAAAAGAAACTATTCAACAGAAAAGGGAAACTGATGCAGTAAAGGGGAAAGGAAGAAAGAGAAAAGAAAAAACATATACGCACAAGATAGTTAAGGTAATAATACAGCTAGCTTCCTTCAGTTCATTGAAAAGAAAGGTTTGGTCTAATATTGTTTGAACAATATTTCACACCTATATGTTGCACTCTGAGTAACTACTATGAAGACAACAATACCCAGTGTATTAATTATTGCTATTTTCCTATTAGCCTGTTTTTATACTCTGTTTTATTGTTATTTTTATTTCTCTTTAAATAAAAGATTTCTAAAAAATAATTAATAACAAATGTGATACCCATAACTGTATGATACAGCCACTACTATTTTTCTTCCACTAGTTTGTAGGACAATTGAATGACAAAGCTTTTACTGACTCACTTAAGTATTTGTAGAGTTCCCATCTGAACTAGAGTAGCCTGATTGTGACAACATAGATGTTACCTTACACCATTACAGAAGTTACTATAGGAAAATATATTACCCTATTTCACTGGTTTGGTTCTCCAAAAATAAAAATTGAAGTAGTTCTTCAATACTGTGAATGTTTCATTCTAAATTTGAATTGTGCTTCAACTTTTATCCAAGTATTATTCTTTGAAAAATATGTTGTAAAATGAAGAATGAAGTTTTATGTATCTTAACAAATATGCACACACTGAGTAATTTATATTATCCAAATGGGGTTTATTGTCAGGCATGGTGGCACACACCTGTAATCCCAGTACTCAGGAAGCTGAGGCAGGAGGATCATTGTGAATTCGAACCAGCCTGGGCTACAAAGTGAGCTCAAGGCCAGACTGAACTGCAGAGAGAGACCCTGTCTCAAAAAAAGAAGAAAAAAAAATGGGGTTTATTGAGTATGGGTAAATATTACAAGTGAAACAGAAGCTTTCATATAAATTCTTGCTGAAAGTACAAAGGACATAAATTTTTGGAAAATATTAAGGCTTGATCTATGCCTGGAATATGATATAAAAATAGTGATGAAGCTGGTATGGTGGTGCATGCCTGTGATCCCAGCACTTGGAGGCTGAGGCAAGAGGATCATTTCAAGTTTGAGACCAGCCTGGGCTACAAAGTGAGTTCAAGGCCAGCCTAAACTGCATAGCCAGACATTGTCTCAAAAAGACAAAAGAAAAAAAAATAGTGACAAGATATTTGAAGAACAAATTTAATCCTCTTTAGAAAAAATCATATTCATGTTTTGGGGATTTTGAAGCGGGGACATTTTTGAAAGTTTGCGGGGATGGGTTTTGTACCAGGAATTAAACTCAGGGCCTCTCACTTGCCAGGCAGGCACTGTACTGATGAGCTACATCCCCAGCTATATTCAGTTTTTTAGAAAAAGTAAGTGAAATTCTAATTATGAAATTTGAAACAGATTAAGCTACCACATAATGTAAAATATACATGAGCATCACTTAATCATGTGCAGGAAAATTGGACATTGGAGGCATATACAAAGAGTATTATTAAAATTTTAAACAAATAAACCCTTATAAGTATGAACCTGTTCCAAAGACTGAAGGCATTAGTGTGGCTTTTGTGTATCATTAAGAGGAAATTTGCGCAACATTATCAAAAATACTAATATTGTCTTATACTACCTACATTTTTGGTACACATGTGATTGCAAACATGATCAAGCACATTGGACCCAAGTTAGAGGAGCATTTTGCTTTTTCTGATTCTCCTTCACATTTTATGAGGAGCGTTCAGTGATGGAAGCTATCCCATGGTGTTCAGTGACCTGTGCATAGAATTATGTGGAAAGATGGAAGGTACAGGCCATGAAAATGTCTGTGACTTCTCTAAGATACCTGTGATGTCATTTTAATTTCCAGATTAGAGTCCCGCACACGGTAACAATCAGAATACTGTGTGCCCACAGCTCCTGAGCTCGTGGCAGCCAGGGTTATGCTGGAACAAGCCCGCAGGCATCAGCGGTCAGCACAGAATCCTGTCCCCGAAGCCCGTGTCTTCAGATCTGCCCCCGCTTCAGGAGCCCTGCGCACGCCTGTGTGGCTTCCCTGCGGGTCTTTCCCCCCAGAAGGACCTCGTCTCGGGATGGGAGCGCTTTCCAGCCCCGCTGCTCCCGCTCCCCTTTCAGAGCCTGCCTCTCAGACAGGATGGCGACCTCAAGGTGACGGGCACACGGACCACGACGTGTGTGGGAGAGAAGGTCAGACACAGAGATAAACACGGGGGATGCTGTGGCCTCACCTCCCCACGGAGTGACACGATCACTTCCGCGGTGACACAGTGACAGTACGTTCTTCATTGCTGCATCTCTGGAAACTTCTTGATGTCAAACTCCCAGAAACAATTAAAAGTTTCTCCTTTGTGTTAAGCATTTCCAAAGAGCGGAGGAGTGTGCGGTGAGACTGTCACTCTCTGTCCTCCCTGGGCACATGGGTCACAGAGGAAGGCAGCAGAGAAGGTGGAGGTTTGTGCCAGGAGAGAAAGAGACAGAAAAGCATGTGGGTCCCCAGATGTTATGCACCTGTGAGAAGCTGTTTGTTTCACAGTCTTTGTTTCCTACACCACAGTCTCCCAAACTGCACCATCAACTGTGTTTTGATCAGAGAAATAAAAAGATACGTACAGGGGATGCCAGGGAACAGTGAAAGTGAGGATATCATGCCACAGTGGATATTAAAATCCATTAGAGGCCAATTGTGCAACTCTCTGCAAACTAATTGGAAGGTCCCCTTGAGATGGGTGAAATTCAGAGACAGCACTGGGTATCCACATTGCCTCAAAAAAGTACCACTGTATTGGAAGCATTCAAATTCCCATTCACATGCTAACTGGGAAAAATCAACAGTTTGCAGAGAGCTAGCTAGATAGGTTTGATGTAGATAGGGATACCTACATATACATGTATAATACTAAAGTCACATCCTAAAGAATAATTGAAATTCTTATCACAACATGCAAAAGGGAAAGCCCAAGGATCTTTAATGTAACAGAACAGAGCACAATATACAAGACTAGTCACTCTACTCAATTATAATTCTATAAGGAAAGGGAGGGTATAAGTAATAAATCTTAACATATAAATAAATATAGCAAAATATGAAATGCCAAATTTATGAAGAATTGAAGATTATATGTAAATTAGGATGAGAGAAAGCACAAAATAAAACCACACTTTTTTCAAAAGAAGTCAGGGATTTAATTTCAACATTTATTAGAAAAATTATAGATGTATATTAAAAGTGTAAAAATGAAACCTCTTACAGTGCTCAGATTTTATATTTTCATGTCACACACATTCATAGGAAAAATAGTGTGGCATTTTAAGACTAGATTCAGAAAATAGTAAATGCAAAATAATTATAACATGTAGGCAGTAATAAAAACAGATTGTTTTAATCTACTTACAAATCCATGAAATAAGTTCAGGTTCAGATAGAATATAATAATGTAAATAAACTTACAATTGAAATATAACAGATGTACATCAAATGTATAGATAAAGAATAGAAACCCCAATATGATTTCTAAAATAAAAAGAACTGTGAATTCTAATCTAATAAAACATCAATAGGAGTGATAAGAATATTTTAAAGTGGTATTCAGAAGGAACCTGCACTGCTCAAGGCATATTTGTTACCAGAAACCCAAGTTCTCATATGAACACTCTCAATTCCTTCCCGAAGAAATAAGGAAAGAACAAAATAAATCCAAAGGAGGCCTGCAGATACAGCTCAGCGGCACAAGCCTCTGCCTTGTAAGCACAAGTTCCTGAGTTTGATTCCTGGAAGTATTAATAATAATAATAATTAAGAATAAGAATAAGGTCAAAGGAATCAGAAGAGAGAAAACAATCACATAGAAGGATAGAAACCAGATTAGCCAGCTGCTGGGGAAACTTGAACTGGCACTCCATCCCATCCTCTGTGGACACTGCAAGTCACGCCTGAGTTCAGGGTGCCATTAGCCAACCACTGGGGGGAATTGGACTGGTGTCCCAAGCCCTGTGGTTATTGTGGGTCATGCGTCAGTCCCAGTCACCACCATCCAGCCACCTGGGGAAGTCGGACTGACCTCCCATGCTCTGTGGACATTGTGAGTCATGCCTGAGTTCAGGGCACCATCAGCCAGCTGCCTGGATGCAACCCATCCCCCTTGGCTACTGTGGGTCAGGTATTAGTGCTACTCACCCTCAGCCAGCCACCTGGGAATCTCAGACTGGCGCCCTGAGCTCTGTAGACATTGTGGGTCATGCCTAAGGCCCCTGTCACACTCAGTCATATACCTGGGGAACTCAATAGATGCTCCAAGTCCCACTGATATTGAGAGTTGTGCCTGAGGCCCTGAAGTGACAGGTACATCCCATCACCTGCCTAAGACCCAAACCTGGACCCCACATTCCACAGACATTGTGGGTCAGCCGGAGGCCTGGGCATCCTCAATCAGTGGCCTGGGGCCCTTGGTCCCAAAGGCCAGCACTCTGTCGACATTGGGGATCTGATCTGAGCTGAGCTGTGAATTCCATCTACTGCCTAGGAACCCCAGACCAGGTAGCACACCTCCTGCTGCTGTCATGGGGTAAGCCTGAAAACCAGAAAAATCTAGGAGCCCTAGAGACCTTATGGTGAGCTTCCTGGAAAGGCTGAGGCCCACCATTTCACCTCCAACATCCCAAATGACAAGACAAAGGAGCAAAATGCAGTCTCAGAAAGCTGCCCCAATCAGAACAAGTCCAGGAGACATCAACATAGGAGATCTTGGAAGTCACATATCTGAAATCTCTAAAATGATCACAACTGAAGCAAAGAAACAACTCCATCAGGCCATAGGAGAAATCAGATTGGAAACAATCTCTCAGGTAAAAAATGAAATGACAACAATAATGAAAGACTTGCTCAACACATCTAAAGAGGACATATATAAAAAAAAAGACATGCATAGCAAAATGATGGGAACATTAAATGAACAACAGAGGAAAGAAGTAGAATGCATGAAACAGATTCATACAGATATCCAGGAAATCAAAACTTCCATTGAAACCTGGAAAAACCGCTTGAATGAAGCCAAAGATAGACTTTCAGATCTTGAAGACAGCATTGCAGCTAATGATTGTGAAAGGAAAAATCTCTTAAAAATAACAAGGAACCAGGAAATAACAATTCAACAATTGCAAGATGATGCGAGGAGAAACAATGTAAGACTAACAGGTGTCAACCAAACAGCAAGAGTCAACACAAATGACATAAGGAGATTATCTGTAGAAGTAATAGCAGAAAATGTCCCAAGTATGGAAAAATCACTACATCCTTATAAAGGGCACATCTTTTTTTATCCATTTCTCAGCTGATGGGCATTTGGGTTGTTCCCAAGGTTTACCTATGAAAAATTGTGCCCTTTATAAGGATGTAGTGATTTCTTTGTCTTTCTTAATCAGTGTTGCCTTAAAATTCACTTTGTCTGCAAATAGAATAGCTACCCTGCTTTTTTCCCCGGTTCCTGTTGCATGGAGTATTGTTTTCCATCATTTGACTTTCAGTCTATGAATCTTTTTGAATTAAATGTATTTCTTGTATGCAGAGCATTGTTGGATCTTACTTCTTTTTTAAAAAAAATTTATTTTCTGAGAAAAGTAAAACAAAATTTCATAACAAAATAATAGAAGAATAACAATAGCAAATACATTGCACGTTGTTATCTTTAAAGTACTTGCTCAGAATACAAGATATGAACATAAAAATTCTCCAACTGATATTAGCACAAACCTTCCTTTTCTACAACCTAAGAGACACTAGTAGTATAACTAACTTGCATTTTTTTCTCCTTTTTCCCTTCCTTCCTTTACCCTTTCTTCCATCCTAGCTCCTTTTTCCTTTTGAACAATTTCTTCCCATTTCACAATACCTATTGTACATTTTAGACCTTATTTACTCTTTCAACTTCTCACACCAGGGAGACAATGCGATGTCTACATGAGTCGGATTTATTTCACTTAAGAATATGGTCTCAAGTTGCATCCATTTACCTACAAAAGTCTCACGTTTATCCTTTGTCGTGGCTGAATAGTACTTCATTACATTAAAATACCACATTTTTTTATCCATTCCTCAGGTGATGGGCATTTGAACTGTTTAAAAGATTTAGCTATTACAAATTGTGCTCCAATATTGCTGTGGTATGATGTTTTTAATTCTTCTGGGAAGATACTCAGAAGGGGAATAGCTGTGTCAAATGGGACTTCTAATCTTAGCTTTTTGAGGAACCTCCAGACTCTCTCCTCTTCTTATCTTTCTCTTCTCCGCCCTCCTCTGGTTCTGTGACCTCTCTGTCTTAGATGCACCTTCTGATGCCCACTCTGTTCACTGCTGCTCTTCTCTCTGCCTCCCCAGTTTCTAGACCCTCCCTCTGCCCATGCTGATTCCCTGCTCTGGTCTCCACGCTTCTCCTCCCTGCTCTTCGCTTTCCTTTCACCTCCCTCCTTTCTCCTTTCCTTTCACCTCCCTCTCCCATCCTCTTTCTGATTTCAGTTGCCCTCTGCCTTGGCTTCTCCCTGTTTCACCTCCAAATATTGTTTCTTTTTTTTTTTTTTTTTTCTAGTACCAGGAATCAAACTCACGACCTTGCGCTTGCCAGGCAGGTGCTGTGCCACTGAGCTAAATCCCCAGCCCCTGTTTCATTTTTTTAAATTCCTTTGTCCTTTTTGCTCACTTTTCTCTTTACCTGCCAGTGTTTTGCCCTTGTTGTTTTCCTCTTCCCCCCTCTCACCTCCCATTTCACTTCCCCCTCCATCTCTCTCCATCCTTGAGACATGCATACACACACACACACACACACATTTCCTCTGTCACCAGGTATGTCACCACTCTTTTCTGCATCTCATACTTTCCCTTTGTCTCTTCTGTGGTTTTCCCTGCGTCCTCTTTGTCCTAATCTCTCACTCTGACTCTAATTCTCCTTTTCCTCCTCATGCTCACGCTTCACCCCCACATCTCCATCTCTCTTCCCACCAGCTTCCCCTCTATACCTCCTTCTTTTCTTCTCCCTTTCTCATTCCCGCACTCTCTTTTCTTACCCCACCCTTTCCTGTCTTTTTCCCTCTGTGGCGTGTGCTTCCGTCACAACACACATTCATTTTCTTTTGTTGGTTGTCTCCCTATAGCCTCCAGATAGCATCTCCCTTCTTCACATTTATCCTGTAAAGGACTTTGGCAACATACATGGTTCTTAAGTGTCTCATCAAATATTCATCTTTCACACAACCTTTTTGGAGGATCAGTTCTCTCTTGCAAAACAAATATCCTACGTGATTTCCTGTTTTCAGGGACTGAGAGTGAGAAGTACAAGTGCACACACAAGTGTATGGATGGACACTCACAAAGACACACACACATATCAGCACTACATATGCACTCAAAGAACACATGCAAAACAGCTCTGCAGATATATCTACATGTCCAGAACCACACAACACACACAAGCAATACATTAGGGAAACTTTTGTATGAATGGTACAAAATATAGAGCTTAAAAACTAATAAAGGCATCATATATTTATACAATGACTAGTTATAAAGAAGATCTACAATGTAATAATAGTACATGAAGACTGCTAAGGGAATATGTACATAAAATTCCAGACAAATATAAAAGTAATTTCTATTAATTTGATTGTTTGTTTTGTTGTTGTTGTTGTTTTCCAGTACCAGGAATCGAACTCACAACCTCACGCTTGCCAGGCAGGCACTGTTCCGCTGAGCTAAATCCCCAGCCCCTATTTCTATTAATTTTAATTGTACCAAATGGAGCAGCCTTACACAGAAAGTTTCCCATATGGCCCTCCTTGAATTAGGAATTCTTATAAAATTCTAAAGTTCACTTTCAGCATGTTTGTTTAGCTCGTATTTCCGGTACCCCTTTGATTTGGTGTCTAGAAAGTGTTGTCATTATTCTTCCTAGTTGAGAGAGGATACACATATAAGAGAATTTTACTGAGGTTTTTAACTAGGGTTCTGATACTTCCGTGACAGTCAGAAGGAGATAACTGCATTCAGCTGCTACATTATGAAAGTCTCATATGAATGTTTTTAAAGGACTGGGTGATAAGCCAGAGGAAGGCTTAGGACTTGAAAACTTCTGAGCTATGACAGAAAGCAGACAGGCTGGATGGGGTCTGTATTTCATTACATGAGAAACGACAGACTTTGGCAGCAGAGTTTCTTACTTTGGGAGTTGAGCCCAAATCTTCTGCATCTTGGAGCAATCTGGTGGTGATTGAGCCACTTAATGACTCATTACAGTGTAAAGCCTCAGGCACTGCATGATTTTTCTGATGAGTTTAGATGACTGTGTTCCTTCTACAATAGAAACGAAAGATTTTGGACAGACTGTGGTCATGGCTCATGAGCACAAAGGGACAAAGTGTTGGAAAACATGTATTAATCAAGGCAGCAGTGGTTAGTAATAAGGTGCTGGGATGCTGAAACACAGCCAGATACACCTGGATGATGCAGCTGATGGTGTAAAAATGTACATATGTGCACACCAGGACAAGGATGCCGTCGGTGGCTCTGGTCACAGGAGAGGACCTGGAGCCAACATTGAGCTTGTAGATGTGCTGGACCTGCTTCTTGTGCTTGTATAGTGTGGAAACCATGGAGCTGCTGGTGCAGATCATGAGCCCCATACACAAAGTATCACTGATGGAGAACAGCGCGGTGGTTATGGAGTACAAAACTTTCTCATACCCTGGCCCAGAACAGTATGCAAAGTCTAATTTACTTGTAACGTTTTTGTTTCTCCACTTGGCAGTCACAGTGGCAGGAAAAGTGACATTCAGCAGCATGTGCAGGAGCCAGCACAGGACAGTGGAGATGCTCGTGTATTTCTTAGCTTCTACATTAAGCTCTGTCCACTTGGAGCTCCTGGGACTGATGGTGGTGGCTTGGAAGACACTCAAGAGGCAGGTGCTGCTCATAGACACACCTCTGCCCACCCTGTGCACGTAGAAGACGAGTTTACATCCAAGATCGCTGAGGAAGTCTTCAAACCCAAAAGCTGCCATGGTCTCTGGGATTCCTCTGGAGAGAATCACCAAGAGATTGGCCACTGTCAGGTGCCTAAGGATCAGATCTGTGGCCCTTGACCGGCATCCACTGAAGTAATGAAATAAATACTGACTTAAGAGAAATAAATTTCCCAGGGTTCCAGTGGCGACCTGGACAAGGAATGCTGCTCCAATATGCACATTGGTAGCAACCATTCTGTCACGTACTGTCTTAAAGGGGCTGGGGATTTAGCTCAGCAGCACAGCGCCTGCCTGGCAAGTGCAAGGTCATGAGTTCGATTCCTGGTACTGGAAAAAAATAAATAAATAAATAAATAAACAAAAAGGGGAAAAAAAAAAAACCCAGTAGTTTTTTTAAGAAAAAACAGTTTTTTTCTTAAATACCAAACTCGGCAGGAACGTTTGAGTTGGTAGTTTTTTTAAAGGAGGGTTAAACTGAAAATTTTCCTTTTCCTGTAATTATTGGTTTTTAAGATATATTTTCTTTTCTTCACATATTTTCCAAGATTGATGTGTAAATTTCTAGAGCACGTACAGTGTATACACCACTGTCACCCATGTGTTACATACTGAATTAACCTTTACACCGGCACGATTCAATCACTACTGCCTTTCTTCTTTTAACTTGGAGAAGGATGTAGTTACAGTGAGTTTACTGACTCACTTAAATATTTGTGGAGTGGCTTTAAGCTAGAGCTGCTTGCTTGTATCTTTGACTTTTCCTCATTCCATTATATAAGATGCTACAGACCATTCTATTGCTCTCCTTCACCTGTATGCTTCAGTAATAAAAATATATGTTTATAATTCTAAACACTAATTTTTTTATTTTTAGATTTGATTAGAAATGTTATATAACTGACTAGTTATTTTGAAGAACAGTAAATGAAATTTGAGAAGTGTTATAAATATACACACATGAAGTGAATTTATCAGAGCTGGGCTGGGGATATAGCTCAGTGGCACAAGCGCCTGCCTGGTAAGTGCAAGGTCCTGAGTTTGATTCCCAGTACCAAAAAAAATAATAATAACAAATAAATCCATTATATCTGACTGTGATTTATTGAACGTGCATCAGTAGATGAATAGGAACAGAAGAGCAGAAGTACATAAATCATAGACCAATGTTTGGTTTTTCCTTTATCTGGGAGATGATAAATAAATAGTAATAAGTAGTTGTTATGGAACAAGCTTAATCAGTCCTCTTCAGAAAACACTGTTTTTCTGCACTATTTTATATAAATAAATGGAGTTCTACTTAGTATTTGATCTGGAAAACATTAAAATACAACACAATGATGTAAATGGTCACGGGCATCAAAGAACTATGCACAGGGAAAACTTGACATGGAAGAGACAAAGGATATTAGGAAAAGTTTAATCAAAGAAAGTCTTACATATTGTCCCGAATAAATGCGGAAGTTGTGAGTTTCTGTGAATTCTTTGTTTTTGAAAAGTGAGGAGAAAATACTGTGCACAAATAATAAAAGAGTACCACCATTTCATAGACTCCATATCATATTTACAGTGGAAACACAATTACTGACTCAATAAAGGACACCACATCTCAGCAATAGTATTATATCTACCATTATTCCTTGAATTTTGACACAGAGAATTGGATGGCATAATCAGCTCCATTGTATACATTACCAGGTGCTCAGAATTATATGGGAACGTAACAACTACTGATGTTTTGTGACTTCAAAGAGACTGCTTTTCAAATTAGAGGTGCTAGTACATGAAATTCAGACTTCATTTCTGCTTTCACCCAGCTCCAGTGATCTTGAGCAGGGGAAGGTCACACTACAGCATCAGCAGTCACCAGGGTTCCGCATAGGGTCCTGGTCCTAGTTTCTGCCCACGAGCTCTGCCCACACCTCAGGGCACCTTTGCTACCTGTGGCTTTGGTGCTGATCGGTCTCATCTGAAGAAGAAAGCCATCTGCCGACAAGAAGTTTCTTTTTTTTTATTATTTTAAAGATAAAAGAATGAAAACATATTAACAAACACACATACATTTAGAAAGTAACACAAAAACAATACAAGCAATACAGAATTTCTGACAAGGTGATAGCTGCTGCTTTTGCTTCTTTTCAGACTCTGCTCTCAGACTGAAAGAGAAAACACTCACCTGAGCCCTTCCTGCTACCAGGGTGGTGAACACATTACACGGAGCGTGGTATGTACGGGAGGGAGAAGACCAGACGCAGATAAGCCTGGATGGTTGTGTGACCTCATCTCCTCGCGGGACAGAAATGATTGGTTCTCCTGCGGCATCAGGGACAGCACAGTCTTTCGCGTTGTGTACCTGAAAAGTTTCCCCTCATTCCAAACTCTCAGAAACAATTAAAAGTTTCCTGTTTGTGGTGAGCATCTCCCAGGAGTGTGTGGGGCCAGCCCTCGATGTCGCTCATCCCGAGGCAGGTAGATTCCTTGGCCAAAGGCTTTACCTCCACTTATTGAGAAGGCCATATTATTTCTGTCCTTCTTTCTTTTTATGTGATGTATTAAATGTATTAATTTGTATGTGTTCATCCATGCTTGCATCCCTGGAATGAACCCTACTTTGTCATGATGTATGATATTTTCAGTGATTTGTTGCATTCTGTGTGCCAGTATCTGCTGAGGATTTTTGCATTTATGTTCATTACCAAGATTATCCTATAGTTCTCTTCTTCAGTTGGGTCCCTGCCTGTTTTGGGAATCGAGTTATTGCTAATTTCCAGGAATAACTATGGAAATATTCCTTCTCTTTCAATTTCATTATACATTTTGAGGATTGCTGACATTATGTCCAACCTAAAGTTTTTGTGGAATTCAGCAGTAAATCAATCAGATCCTGGGATTTTCTTAGTTTATAGGGGTTTTTTTCATTGAGGCCTCAATTATATTGCCTGTTATTGGATTGTTCCGAATTTTATATGTTCATCATTACATTTTGATAATTCATGTATTTAGGATTCTGTCCATTTCTTCAAGATTTTTCAATTTTTTAGAGTACAATTTTTCATGGGGTTTTCTGATGGTTCTGGATTTCAGTGATGTCTATAGTGATTTCATCTTTTCTACCTTATTATGGTCACCATCTCTGTAGTTGTCTGAGAGATTATTTCATATGTGATTTTTTTCCTATATGCTCATGGATCTGCTTTGTTATTTCTGCTGTTACCACTTCAGAGAGTCCAGATGATTGGCTTTTGGACTGTTATGCCTCATTGCCCCGTGGATTTGTCTTTGATGAGCTGCAAGTCTACGGTAGCATCTTGCTTAAGTGTCTTCTTCCTTTTCAATGTTTCTGAAGTTTCATTCCTTGTTTGATTATTGTAGATTAAGGTTATACTTTCAGGAATCATTTCTATAGTATGCTACTACAGAAGTTTCTCTGACCCATGTAGAGTACTTGATGATTGTAAATTGCTTATGGCAGGTGGCTTTATTGCTAGTAATTAGAACACCTAGGAAATGACTACCTCTCAGAAATGACCTCCAGGTATAGCTGGCTTTTGGTTTTGAGTCCACTTCAAGAACCTACCTCTTCAATTTATTAGTGGTGAGGTTGCTGCCCTCTTGGCCCAGCCTCTGGTTCTTTGCCACTGGCCTATGGTACTGTTTATTACCCTTAGGTATTCTCAGTCTTGGCATATTAGGAAAAACAACTGATTAGAATAATTATGTTACTGTGGCTAAAGTAGTACAATCAGTAATAACAATAGCATCAAACAGCCTAGAAAATGGCAAACTGTGGTAACTATTAATTTGTCATCTTTAACTATATGAACTAGGTTTGTGTTTACATAATAAAATCTAAAACAAGCCAGAAAATTGTATATAGTAAATATGCCCTCAATATGGCAATTTTACCAAACATGGTGGTTCGTGCCTCTAATTCCAGCACTCAGGAGTCTGAGGCATGAGGATCACCATGAGTTCAAGGCCAGCCTGGGCTACATAGTGAGTTCAAGGCCAGACTGGACTATGTAGCAAAATCCTATATGAAAAAGATGGCAATTTTAACCTCAGGGGAGAAAATTTTAAAGTTTAGGGGGAAATAGAGAAATAGAAGGAGAGGAAGGCATTAGAAGCAATGCAGGCAGACAAAGGAAGAGTACACAAACTTCAGGACGCTGGTGAAGAAGGCAGGAGGGAAGGAGAGAAAAATAAAAACAAGAACAGAGAAAAAGAAAAATAACAAGAAAACTAGAAACAATGTTCACACTAATATAAAAGCAAGAAAAATCAAGAGAAAAAATAAAACAAAAACAAAGAACAAAAAAGAAAGAAATTATCACTGGTAGATAGAGTAGGCAGATAGAGCCCAGATCCATGTTGGTTCATCCCTGCAGGCAAGTCACAGATTTATGGCGGGGTAGTGGATAACCCTAGTGAGACTGAACCTTTAGTTCCACTGAAATTCAGGCTGTCTTGGCCTATACCAATATCTCCAAGAGTTCTATCTGTTGTATTTTCCAACAGATTTAGTCTTTCTAATTTAATATTTAGATCTTTTATGCATTTTTATTTTAGTTTAGTGCATGGTGAGAGGCATGGATCTAATTTGAGTCTTCAGCATGTGGGAAGCCAGTTTTCCCAGCTCCGTTTATTAAAGGGGCTCTTTCTTCCAGTGAACATGCTTGGCCCCTTTGTTGAAGATAAGGTGGGTGAGTATATTTGGAGTTGTCTGTGTATCTTCTACTCTATTGCATTGAACATCAGGTCTGGTTTTGGGGGAGATTTTTCTACCAGTTCCACAATGAGCTCATGTAAATAACAAAAGTTTATGTCAAAAATTTCCTCAACTTTCTACTCAACAAGCTTGCGAGATCACTTTATCTTGTCCTACCTTTGGAATGCTTAATAACCCTGCCTTTCAACCTGGAACTAATCCTAGCGGATGACAAAGTAATAAGTTGTGGCAAACGGTTGTAATACATATTCCTGCCTTTGGGAATCTTGGTTTTTACATGTAGTTATTGATACATATTCTGGCTTTTATGGGTCTCAGTACAATTGGGAAAAAAAATTTATACCTGTTAAAAATCATTTGTTGGAATATTTTGCTATTATAGGTAAACTTAAATCAATTAAAACTGATAGTGGACCTGCTTATATATCCCATTCCTTCCAACAATTCTGTCCTCGTGGATGTTAATCATTACACGCACATTCCATACAATCCTCATGGCCAAGCTATG